AAACCGCCAACGGACATCAGAAACCATTCAGGGCCGGGGTCCTGGTTACCACATTTAACACACGAAATAAATAGACTATGGTACTTCCCCAAATGCGCCTGCCCATTTGTGCAACAGTAGAAGCTGTTGCGTAGCCCTATCACCCTACGTAGCGGGGATATAAACTATCATTTAAATACTATACGTATTTAATTCATCAAAGTGTCCTATAGATCTTAGTTTTTTATGAGAGAAGGCAGCAAGCGAGCTGGCGGTTCACATGATGTTAAGTGATAGCCGCCAGCCATTCACATTTGCGACACCCTATACTGTTGCAGATGCCTTGCCCCGGGTACCTCACTCACCAGACGAAACGCCGACGTATATCACTTCCACTTCGCGCCGTTCCTCTGTGAGGTCGTGGTACTTACCCGGACGGACCAGCTTATTCGTGAAACTGCACAGACTGTTGCGTGGCCCTACTATACTACAAAGCGTAGTTGTATAAAGGTCAGATTTGCATAAGGAGATATTTATCTTTAACACGAATTTACATGAAGGTTCCAGATTAACATAAGCTGATATTTATCGAAAACAATTTATAATAATCCCCGAATAGCATTACAATATCTAATTATTTCTTATTCTTTTATATTACGGTCAACTTAAGGCGAATTCGCGGGACTGTGCACACAGTTAACCAGTCTTTTTTTAAAATATAATACGTTATTTTGTTAAAACGCGTATCCGACAAGCAAGGATCCATAAATTTTTAGGAGAAGATAGAGATAACTCAAGTAAAAAGCCATTATTTAATAAACGTTAAGCTTATTATGAAATTCTTCTTAACTGAACCGTACTAACAGTGTGGATAATTTCATATAAATTTTGTAATATATTGCTTGATTGCTTTTGTATATTTTATTTATGGCTTATCTCTTTTTCTTGCTTCATTTTTAATATATTTTTTAAACCTAATCCTAATCATTTATTTTAATTTTAATTTTTATTACCGAACAACGGCTATTACTGTAGCACAGTAGTTCTATTGATTACATATTTTTACGTTTTGTAATCAAAACAACCTATTATTATTGGTTTTATTTTTATTTATTTTGTTATTTTGGGTTTATTTTCTCATCTGGTTAGGTTTATTAATAAAAATAAACAAACAGATGTATATTGTATTTAAGAAGTAAATAAGGCCCAACCAGACGGATTATTATTATTATTGTTAAATAAATAAGACATTTAGATCTGATCATAGCCTGATCAATTTCCGTTTGTCTTAGTGCTTGTGTAACAGAGCATTTGCGTCAACTAGGCCATGCCTCAGCTGTGTCCAACAACAGACTTAAATCGCCTCGTTTCTATGGAACAAGCTTTTTACAACAGCCGCAACGACAAAACCCTGAGCCGAGCTCAGGCAATTGAGCGGAATCAAACAGGTCGTTAAGTACAGACAATACTTTAGCCGAGTAAGCAACTTTCTTCGCGAGTCGGAGAAATGCCAGGAGCTTTCTATTCTCGGTTCAACTAGTATCTTATTTTGTAAGCAGTTTCCTTCATAAGTCTTTATGCTTACAACGACAGAAAAACAATTTACTGTTGTGTATCTATCCGAATATAACTGTTGAGTAGTATTAAATTGAGTGTCTCCAGAGTTTGTTAGTCTTTCTCCTGGTCAGAAATTTAACGTGAATCTTGAACTTGTTAACAAGATTAATGTCTAATTTATTGCCACGTATCATTAGATGGAACCAAGCGGTAACCGAAGATTGAGAAATATCAAGAGTTGATCACATAATAATATCAAGAGATGGTTCCTCGATAATCACAAAATTATAGCGAGGGTGTGTCCTTCAATACTTACAAATCGTAGCTAAGTGGAGCCCCCATGTCTGCTGTCTTTTAGAGTAGATGCCAAAATACAGAATTGCTCTGCAGTTGTCAATGACCGCCCCTAGAAGTTGAGAAGTCGGGTAGATGTTGCCGGTTTTTTAAGAAAAAAAGTCCCGGAGTCTTTCTCTGTCTTAAACTCCTTCCTAGAAGCCCCTATGTCGTATTGGTCAAGTGATTCCACGAAGCAGTCGTGTGCGGCAAATAATTCGCTGAAAAATTTAGACTGTCACCAATCAAGATTGCACCATATATTACATTTTTTTAGTTGCTAGATCGTTAAGTTTAATTTGTGAGCAGCTTCTTTGTTTCTTAAATAATGTTTCTACCATCGATCGCGTCGTCAATTCTATCAGCCGGGATGTTCCAACGTTATCCACTTTTGGTAAAAGACTTATCGTGAACATGCAGAATCGGATAGATAATACAGACTACGCGACGTCACATGCGCCTTTTAATATTTTTTTTTATGTGATAAGCTGCCAAACGAGCAGCCGGTTCACCTGATGTTAAGCGAATACCGCCGCCCACGGATATCTGTTACACCCGAGGGTTCCAGATGCGTTGACAACCTTTTGAAAATTGGGCTCATTCCCTCATTGACGCGACCGTACCAGCTCTTACGCTATAAATGCGAATCCGCCATTTTATTGATCTGTTTTCTAGTCTCTATAGTTTCATTGAAAACTGTTTCGCATCAGACAAAGGCTGCCAACTACGATACCAATTAGCGTCCATGGATGTATGACAAAGTTTATAGCGTCGACGTTATTAAAATGTGAGGTTGATAGAAAATTTCCCCTTTTCGATGCTGCGAAAAATGGCGCAGAATTAGATGAGGGAAGTTAACGAGAAATGGACTGTGTTTAAATTTCTATTTATGAGCCCATAAAATTATTTTAAGTGTTTTACTTCGATTCTTTGAAAGTAGAAATGTTGCAATTAACTGATTTTTATTGAAACTACGAGCATTTTAAAAAAATAATACAATTTACTTGGGTAATACGCTTTTAGCTTATATAGCTCACTGCCTCTTTTTACTCGTTTATTTGATATTAAAATTGAATTAATTAGAAACAACTTGTGTAGTTAATGAGTTTGATGTTGTTTTTACTCGTTCTACGGTGAACGGATTCGTGCAATATTAATTATAGACATGTTTTTTTGTGCTTTTCACCGCAGTACGTTAAGTTCCAATAAAATTACGTATCTTTTTTGGAAATTTTAACTTTTATTAACTTTTAACAAGTTGTACAGATTAAGCGAGTTAGTTCGTCAGTGGGCGGCGAATCCCGAAGACGTGTGTGGTTTCGATAAGACGTGGGTTCGATTCCCACAGCGGCAAGAAACTTTTTGTTCCTTTTTTCTACAAATTTTAATTGCTTCACGCTTCAAACTAAAGTGTCACATATATCACAGACTAGAAAAACACGTCGCACCTTTAGAATTTTAGTGGCCTATTTAAAAACATCAATTTATAGGAAATGTAAAATAAAGATTTGTGCACTAAAGTACAAACGTGGTGATTGGAGGGGAGCGAAAGAAACCAAAGTATATGTTTCTACTTCAAAATCGGCTCTTGTTTTAATAATAGCCGAATAAGGTGGGTCGTTTTAGGTCATTATCTGACAGAGTCAAAATCATAATTTACTTAATTAGGTTCCTTTAATTCTAAAGGTGCGTCGTGATCGAGCAAACACTGGATGTGAACGGGAACTTAACGAAGGATCGAAGTCATGGACTCATCAAGAATGATGAAGATGTGGTAGAATGCACGAATGGATAGTCCCCTTCGGAGAAGTACCACAACCTCACAGAAGACCGACGTGAAATTGACGCGTTATACTTCTGCGTTTTGTCTGGTGAGTGAGGTGACCCAGTTTATTGAGAGGTGGCAATGCGTCCGCAGCTTCTTTTCGTTGTTAGATTATCATCTTACATGATATAAAGGTTACAGGACAGTAAGCTGCTGGTGGCATCAACGGGCTTACGATCTTGGGGTCGAGGATACAGATACCAGTAGCGTGTACCGTGAGTAGTATTCCGTTTTTAGGATGTCGTTCGCAAAAATCACAAGGTAGCAGGGATCATGCGGTGAGACGGGAATAGAATCCTCTCTCTCTACCCGTCACGGTCTAAATATGAGGGAGCTTGTTGTTGCTTTCACACAGTGTCCACGGCAAGTTAATACGCTCCTGTGATCTGACGCGGTACTCGTTCAACAAATGTAAAGTCAAATTCACACGAGCTAATCCCAGAAAGCCTTAACTAATACAGACGGGCATTGCTAAAGGAAGGGGAAAAGTTAAGATTCATTTATTCAATTAAGGCCGTTTAAAAGCTTTTACGAACGGTAACTACCGTCAGAATTTAGGCTGAACATAGTTTATGAAATAAACCTATCTAGTACTTTTAAAAATTCAAATCAAATCAGAAGGCCGGCGTGAATTGGAAGGTATTACACTTCTGCGTTTCGTCTGGTAAGTTAGGTAAACGGATCCCATTTTATTAAAAGGTGACAACCATAGCGGGCGGTTATCACTAATATCAAATGAAAAATTACTTTAAGTATATCTTAATGCCAAAAATATGAAATCATGAGTGTTTATTCCTTTATATTCACTAAAATGACGGATTCCGAATGTAACCGACGAATATGACTTAAAGACTTAAGATCTATTTATCTTGCTGCCGATGTTTTTAAAATATTAGTTTTTAAAATATAGAAAATTAAGGACGAAATCATTCAATCGTTACGTTTCGCAGTTTATTTCGCAGGTTTTATACATAAGTACGAAATCAATCTGACGTCCGTATATTTGAACAATAACAGAGAGAATATTCTATTACACTAATGTAATAATAAGCCTAATGAGAGTAAATGTGTTCGTTTTTGTTTATCCATTGTTAACGAACGTTGAATAGATTCCTATTACATTTGGATTTGTTGAACTATCACGTCTCCCGAAAAGCGAGGCAGTGTATAAATATCACGGCTAACATTAAAGCGACCCGCTGCATTTCGTAGCGACAGGCGACCATGAGGGGCCGGTGTGGGTTCAACGGCCCAATTTTCCAATTCCGCCAGGGGAATCAAAATCGAGGAGTGACGAGCGGAGCCCATGGAACTCATGAATGGGGGCGTGCAGGCGGCAGTGACCTTGCTACTCCGCTGCGCCCGGCGTTGCACCCCCCCCCCTCACGCCCCCCTCCCCGAATGCCAGCGCACGCAAATGATCGAGTGCCCCTTCGCCCCCCTAGTGGCGGTGGGTTCTCACTTTTGTTACACCGCGCGTATTTATAACGCAAGCCCCTAAACGTCGTGCCGCTATAAATAGCAGAAACACGCTAACCCAGTTAGCGCGTTGCCCCGTTCTGTATTCCCAAACGATTGCGAATGCTTTAGCGTGTGAGATAATATACGGCCAGTTTCTTGTTTAACTTCCGCTCCACTCGGAACACGCCGCCGCTACTGGGGATCGCAACGAGCTATTTCTCGCAGCGCGTTCGCGGAAACGGCTCTTTCGCGCCTGCTATTTCTCGGCCCTCCCTAGATCGCCTCCCCCCGCGGCCCCGCTTCCTTCCGCGTCCCCGCGCCGCGCTCCGTAGCGATTGCGTTAGGTTATGATTTGATAATTTCTCCCGGGCCGCGAAAGGTTTAGGGCCGACGTGAACTAGTTTCTCCCCGTGTTGGCGTACACCATGTAAAACAGGGCGCGAACTGAAGGAAATACTGGCGATCTATAAAAAACGAAAACATCAACAAAGCTCGATTCAGAATGCGTAAAAGAACATCTACTTCACAGCAAAATTTTACGAGCTCTTGTGCGTTACGTGTTAACGATATCGGAGAAGATTGAAATGACTCATGGTCAGTTTCACTGAGCTTATTCAGCTCGATACGAAATCAATATGGCTCCGGTGAAAAAGTGAAATACATGAGAAATTAGCTGTGCACGTAATAAATCCGAAAATACGGAAAATTTTGTATTGAACGCCGTACGGAATCGACTATGCGATCTTGTATCACACATACTAGCCACTAAGCGAGCGGCGCCTCAAAGGTTTCAGGTTAAACACATTTATTTATCACACAAAAGAACATTACATAATTCACTTAAAACGTGATAAACATTCTAAATAGAATAACAGCCGATTACTCTTCAAGTGTATGAATCAACTTTTCCGATAGCGTACTTACCTCATCATGTGTTGGGTAATTATATTACTTACTGTGTGTGGTAGTTATATTACTTACTTAGCTACAAACACATAACAACGCGATATTAGAAACATTACGAACTATCATTTAAACATACCTACAAAAACATTTAGTTTTTAAAAAATATATTACATTAAAATACAATAGCTAATAACTTCTAGGAGTTTTAATTATACAAACAGAGTCAGCACATAATATTTAGGAATTCTGTTATTAAATATTTAACAGTTGTACTATTACCGTACGAAACATATTCTCCAAAGACGATTTAAATACTTTAAGTCTAGGCAACATAATCCCGCAAAATAAACGTGCCATCAAGCGACGAATATACACCAACAAATTCGATACAATACAGAGCGCCTCGCACGTGCATTCGTATTTAGTCGGGTGCGCCCGTAAGTAACGTTATCGATTGCTTACGATCGATTGAACGCCTTCGAGCGGGGGTACTTACGTCTCAGGCAGCTCTCAGAGAACTTGTAAACTTCTCCCGAATGTGCCATATTTCACCAGGAACTTCCGCCCAACAGCCATAACCACGGAAAGTGAGCCGTTACACCGAATCTATCACATGTTTTTAGCACGTTTTCAAACACAACATCGCAACGTAACCTATAATTATGAGGCCTACAAAAAACTATTCCGTATACCAGATTGGTATGGAATATGCCGAACAATTCGTCAGTGAGAAAATCGATTTCATTTAAAGTTTCGTTTTAAACTTCATAGAGCGCTCTCAAGCTTCAATTACAAATGTAAGAAGATGTTAACGTAAAGTATACTGAAGTGTAATGATATAAAATACGTCTGAATAAACGTTGCAGATAAATACGATACGAATTATTTTCTTAATGTGTACATCTTATCCTTTAAACGAGCAATTCTTGTATATATATATAATCGGAATCTCGAAAACGGCTCCAGCGATTTTCATGAAATTTAGTATGTGTGTAGATTTGGGGGCGAAAATTCGATCTAGCTAGGTTTCATTTTTAGAAAATGTCCTTTTATCCCTGTTTTCAGGGAATGAAAAATATCATTCGAATATGACGGTAAATTTCGCCGCAAAAAAAATTTTATAATAGCTCGGTCAGTAATCGGGCGGCCCCAAAACAGACGGCCCTGGTTTGTGTCACAATCATTTACACTCTTTTTTTTTTTACTTTTTTTTCGATTCCAGATCATTGCTTAGTTTTATTTTTTATTTTTTGTTGATCCAGATGATTTTGTTATTTTTTCCCTTTTTTTAAATTGTTTCTTTTGTGAAAAACACCACTTCATATTTTCTTATTATTAGGTCGGTAAGATCGAAAAATATTATGCATATTTCATTACTGAGTAATTTGTATCTAAATGTAATTTCCAAAATACACGATTTACAAAAAAAAAACCGAGCAAAGCTCGGTCCTCCAGGTACTTTTCTTATGGATTTCTGCTATTTATTATAATATATAAATTGTATCAAAGTATTTTTGGTATTGGTACCGTAGTTATTGAAGTAACATTATTTATCGTTAATTATTAAAAATATTTTTTTTAAATATTAAACTACAACTACTAAGAAAGAATTGTTTGAAACTAGAAAGTTTGATTTTTATTACATTTACAATAATTTATCGTTAGTAATACACGGTAACTGTTACTTTGTAACGAAAATAACGGGAATTATTAACAACTGTAAAAATAATCTTATTCTATAAAGCTAACGTACTTAACTGACAGGTACGCTGCTTTCCTTCTAGACAAATCCTGATAAGTCTAATACATAATAGATTCGTTATTTCTAAATAAACAGATATGTAAAAAATAGTTTAATTATATCCACGAGGCAATAACTATTACAAGAGGTCGATGTTACAACCCTAACCAAAAAAACTACGTATTTTAACATGGGCTAATGATGTTTATCTTATAAAACCACCCTCAGTAAGATAACTCCTGTGTCAACATCGAAATAATAGATACTAACTACACCCGCACGCAGAACATAATTTTTTTGTATTTGGGCCATAATTTTATATGTGCTCTGGATGGGAATCACAATAAGGTTCAATTTCAGTTGGCTAAGTGACTTATACCATTTTTAGTTTAGTCTAGTAACCCACCACGTATATACATGACAATAATAATCGTCCACAAGTGTCAAAAACGATATAAACATCAAGTTATTTATCGTGTTATGGTTGCCATGCTATAAAAAAGATTTAATGAAGGGAAACACACATTGTTTTTGTTCGGCGTATTTTGTTATCGTTGTAGCAAGCGCTAACAGCGCTTTAATTAATAACGCTTTGTTTCGCTTTTTACGTAAGAATGTCGTTGATATAGAAATAGATTTGTGCGTCGCGTTCAATGAATAAATATTTGTACCGAGAAAAAATTTACTGAATTTATCGCGTGTAGTGTATGTAAACGGAACTAGTGAAATTCGTTTAATCTATCAAGTATTTATTCACTTGCAGACAATGATAGACATAAAATTCATTGTTTGTAGATTTGACTGGTCATTAATACTATTTTTCCATTCTTATCGTTAGTGAGGTAACTAGGACACACCATGTTAAGAATTGGCGTCCATGGTGATCATTAATTGGCATCAGGTAAATCGTCTCGTCTGCCATATATTCCAGTAAAATAAACATACTTGTCTGATCAGGACTCTAAACCGAAGCTAAGCTTTTTTTATGTGAGAAACTGGCAAGGGAGCCGGCGCTTCACCTGATGTTAAGTGATAACCGGCGCCCGATGTTCATGATGCGTTGCCACCTTATTATAAAGTGGGCTCCGGTTACCTCACTCATCACACGAAACGCAGAAGTATCATCTTCCACTTCACGCCGGTCGTCTATGACATCGCGGTACTTCCCCGGACGGACCTGCCCATTCGTACAACAGCTAAGACTGCTAGGGCCACCATAAGAAAGAAGTTTTGGAGATTCATACGTGAAAAGGAAATTTGTAAATACGGACTGGGGAAATAACTAGAGTTATTACTGTAGTTCGTGTTTGTAAAGATCGCTGAAAGATGTCAGTGACCTCTGCTAACACGAGATGGCTGACGTGTTTGTGTGTATTATTAGGTATTCTAACGCCGTTACTGAATAATTTATTATCGTAGAAATTAATAATAAGCTGTCAAATGGCTTCTCAAATGTCACTTGAGTTGCCAAAAGGATGGTTAAACTCTTTGAATTGATCATTGTGATCGTTTTGATTAACTTTTACTTCTTTAACCATCCTTTCGGCAACTCAAATGACATTTGAAGAGTCATTTGCCTGATTATTTAATTTATACGACGATCAGTGTTTCAGAAACCGGGCGTAACACTCGGTCTCAGTAACAATTCAAATGCCCAACCATTGCGAACGAAATTTTATCTGTGCGTGTCATATTTCGCGTAACATTTCAGTGCGCGTCCTCCGGCGATGTCGCATTTTACGATTTTCGTTTGATGTAACGTCAATATGAAATATTGTTTCGCAACGTCGAAACTTCACAATATAATTGGACATTCCGTCGTAAACTTGCCGCAGTCGCTTCAATATGGGACTTCCTTTATTCGAAAGCGGATTTATTGTATAAACATTGTCACATAAATATAGGAGACATACCGACTGTCAGTATGTTTATGTTAGAACTGTTTGAATCTAAGTAAAGACTTGAATACCTACTATACTTACTAGATATATACAAGCTTTCATGTCTTTTCAAAGTTGATTGACGGGGATTCCTAAAGCTTCAAATTGTGTCAAGCTTTGATTGTGAAGTTGTAATAACTGTCCTGTTGTAATATATTGTCGGACATTTACGTTACATATTAGTAAGTGAGTTAAATCTTTAATAAACGAAACAATAAAATACGATGCAATAAAGCAATAGTCTTGCGAAGAGGAGTATCCAGTGTAAATATTCCAAGCCAAATTTTAAATGAATATTAACGCAGCTGTTTCCGCATCAAAACAACATTGAGGCATGATAAATCCGACAAGAAATCCTTATTATCCAAAGCCGATATGTAACACGTACTATGCAGATCAAGCGAAAAGCCAAGATCTTACAGGATGCACCGCCTAAGTGATGGCTACAACAGCTGATTGCGACGTTGCCGCGCCGCGCCGCCCCCGCACGTTGCCGCTCCGACGGGCCGTGTCTCGGAGGCGATCGACCGACGGCTCCCCCGCCCCGCACGCTGCGCCCCCCATGGGCAAAACTAGGAACGTTTTCTCGACGCTCTGCGTCCTAAAATTACTATTGTACGCTCTCGCAGGCCTATAGTGTGTATCGTATATTGTATGACCTTTCTCCTTGACGCGTTGTAACATCGCATTTTAAACAGGCCCAGAGGAAATGGTGCGTTCATGCAGATTATCTTAAATATACGTCGATGGTGGTGCCATGCTGCAAGATGTATTTTTAATGAAATTATTTATATAACAAAATACTACACATTTTGTCATAGCAGGTAATGGATTTAGACCGATGTTTGTATGTGTGTGTTACACTGTACCTTAAAATCTAGTTTAACTTAAATATCTGTTGCAAAATACTGCCAATATAGACTACAAAGTAAAAAGATTTAGTGATGGAAAATGCATATGAAAATGGTCTAAATAGGTAATAAAAGACTTCCAATATTCGCAATATTGATTTATTTTATGTAAGAGGTGGCGGTTCACTTGATGTTAAGTAATAACCGCCCATAGACATTTGCAACACCCGTAGGCTTGTAGCGTTGCAAATGCGCTGCCACCTTAAAATAAAGTGGGCTCCGGTTACAACATCATGCTGGTCGTCTATGAGATCGTGGTACTCCCCTGGACGGTCCTGCCCATTCGTGCAACAACGAAGATTGTGTGTTGCGTGGCCGTACTACAGTTGAATGAATATATTATCATGAAAATTTTCTATAAATATTGTATCATTCATGAGATTGTAGTTAAATAATCACATAAAATTATTTACGTTCTCTGTCGTTCGTTAATGTTCTCTGCAAAAGTAATTAAGGACAGGAAGTTTAATTAAAGCCAATCGTTTTACAACGTCAGTTGAGAGCGACAATTTTTCTAGTTTCATAAAAACTTTAGATTTTCTTCGTCACTATTAAATAATAAATACATTGCTCATTCCATTCATATAGTAGGTTATACATTATAACAAATAAATACCATTATATACCATAATAATTACCACGGCTGTATCGCCACTTACCATCAGGTGGGATGGCAGTCAAGCGCTAGTCATTTCCATATACACCGTGTCGTTACCATCGCGACAATAAATGAACACACATATAGGGGATAACTTTTTAAAGTTGTATTAAACATTTAAATTCTTTAATCATCAATATTTACAGAGTTATTAAATTTTCCAAAACAAAGAATTTTAGAACACCCTTACCTATAAAAGCGTAACGTAAAGTTCATTTGTAAAGGTCACAAAGCATATGAATGGGTTGAATGAATTTAAAAGAGACAAAACATACTGTTAGAAGGAGAGGCTTATAATACGACGTTGTGGCGCGAGTTGTATAGGTGTTACAAATTTTGTTTCTTTTTTACTTAATTAGTTTGTTTGAAAAATATTTTTTTTTTTAATTATGGATTTTGTTTAAGGTTAATATTTTTTTATGATTATTGGCAAGTAGCGTTAGACGTGTGTTAATTTATTGTCGCGATGGTAACGACACGCTGTATACAAAAAATATATATATTTCTTTTGTTTGTGTAACGAATTAAATATGCGTCATTTAATAAAGTTATGAGGCGGGAACATCACAAAAGAAGGGAACAGAATACAGTGTAATACGTAAGATAAGTTATCAACAAAAGAAAAAAGTACTGATTCGCAGTTTAGAGTGTATTAGAATATCTATTAAACGCGTATCGCATTTTTTAAATTATGGTTCCATTACCACTTTCTTTTAATAAACTTGTTGATTGTAAGTGAGATAATGAATAAAAAGAAACAGAGAAAGAAGTGTTGGAGTAGAATTTTGGTGAAAACACAAATAACGCTGATAAGTCAAATGATTTTACGTATTTTACCTAGTTCAATGACGAGAATAAAAAACTTTAATGTTGATTTACTTGTTTAGTGTACGCAATGTGTGTAACTCAAGCATCGAATTTAATTTTACAATTATTAATGAGGGAAAACACGTATTGAAAGAGGTCATTGTTCTCGGTTACACGAAGCCGGAATGTAATTTTCGTTTTGCGCTGTGAAATTTCCACGTCCAACTTTCGCAACGTCGAATGGAAATTATGCGCTGACGAACTTTTCGCCGCGCTGAATTCGGTGGGAGAGTTGGCGATGCGTGTTTCGCTGTACTCGGGACCAGATTTATAGGTCTGGAGGCCTCGGGGCAACAAAGGAGTGGGGCCCCTTGCCCCCAAACTATTTTCTATTGATTTCTATTAATATCTAATTTAATCATGTTTATACAAAGTACTGTAGGTAAAAGTAAAACGCGAAAAGAATTATGAAAGGTAAAGTTGTTTACTATTTTTTACTAGCATGAATTTCAATTTTTTTTCCAAAGTCTCAATTGTAGGGGGTCTCTCGTTTGTGGAGTCCCTGGTTGCCCTCCTCTAAATCCGTCCCTGGCTTTACTATAAACTCGCAAAAAATCGCGTACGTAGTAGAAAATGACAGCGTTCAACGATTTGCCCTTTTCACATATAATTTCGGTGGTAGGGCCCCGCAATCGATGTTGCACGAATGGGCAGTTCCGTCTGGGTTAGTACCACCACCTCACAGGAGACCGGCGTAAAGTAGAAGTGTTGCACTTTTGCGTTTAGTCTGGTGAGTGAGGTAGCCGGGGCCCACTTTATTAAGAGGTGGCAACGCATCTGCAAGCCTACGGGTGTTGCAAATATTCGTGAGCAGGCGGTTATCATTTAACAACAACAGTGGAACCGCCAGCACGTTTGCCACTTTCGCACATAAAAACAAAAATACAAACCTGGGACCACAGTGCATATGCTCACATTTCTGTCTCCAGGCAATGATAATTTATAGTACCGATATGTTGATAACGCCCTGGTAAAGCCACGACCACGTCCTAACAACAAACAAAGAAAGAGGCGACAAAAAATTTTAATAGGGGGGCGAGAAAGATGGATGCACCTCGAGATTTAATGCTAAAGTGACAAACATTTGGCATCTTCTTTTTGGGTTCCGTACCCAATGGATAAAACGGGATCCTATTACTAAGACTCCGCTATCTGTCTTTCTGTCTGTATCTTAGTCCGTCTGTCACCAAGTTGTATCTCATGAACAGACAGTTGATTTTCACAGTTATTTCTATTGCCGCTATAACAACAAATACTAAAAAACGGAATAGAAAAATATTTGAGTGGGGCTCCCATACAACAGACATGGTATTTTTGCCGTTTTTATAGCTAATGGTACGGTACTATGAATCTATCTACATGCCGAACGGCTGAACCGATTTTGACGAAATTTTTTGTCTGCGTTCAAGTGGATATGAGAATGGTTTAGATCAGTGTTTCTCAAACTTTTGCTGCACCGCCCACTTTAGGAGAAATTGAATACCCAACGCCCCCCAATTCAAATTGTTCATCTAAAGGTTTTCAGAAGATTTTAGGGAAAGCAATAAGGTAGGCTGTTTTATTAACTTCCCCTTGAGTCTTTTAAAGTTTCATTACTTACAGTCATTTAAAGTTAATGCCCAGGTGTGTACAGGTCTATAAATGTGTGTCGGGTCCGCTAGTTTAATTTATATACATAGATAAGTTTGACTAAATTACACAAAAGTTCTCAGTAGCATTCAAAATGACAGATATCCCTAAAGAAGAGCGTCTACCTATACCTACAGCGTGTACTATAATCCGGATATAGAGGGGACTTTGAGTCACGAACGCAAATCACTCATTCAAAAACATCCGAGCACTGTATAAACATACTACTAGCGACTGGAGCCATTCGCTGACCAGACGGAAGTAGCCCATTAAATGGTAATAATAATTTACCTAAAACATGCTACGGAATAATACGGAATAATATTTAGGATAATTTTGTTAGACATTAATGATTTTCCATTTAAATGTTACATGCAACGCCTAATTACCAAGATACTGATTTCCTTCCTATTCTTTCTTTTTAATAGCATTTTTATGGCAAGTACCAATGACGTTTTAATAAAGATGACGCATGTTCATACTACGCGGCGTTTAAAAATTGGTCCGCTTTACATTATATGACATCTATGAGTGAATGAGACAGATGATATAGAACGTATGACACGGAAAGAGCTATCAGTTTAGAGAGTTTCAATTTAATTACATCAATGGACTAATTTTAACATCAATTTTGGTCCGCTACTCTCATATCTATACTGTATTTTTATATAACATCTTTGACAAGAAAATTATTTACAATATTTGGCTCCTTAATATTTTTAATACAATTTATTAACACCAAATAACTTTTAAAACTTTCACAAATCTAATCGTATTCAATTGAATTAAATTCATTTTTATTTAAATATTTCTGCAATAGATGATTTCTATATTTTTATCGACACGTATAAAGGTTTGGATAGAAGCAATTGGAAAAATTCAATACAAAACAGATGAGACGCTAGTTCTAGAAACTTCGGTTTGTCAACATAATAACGAAACCCAGGAATGCTTTGTACGCCATGTCACTGTCAGTAATAAAAAGACACGATAAAGGCAAAAGAAACTATAATAATGTTTTGAAACAGTCAAGAATTTGATAAAAAAAAGTTTTTGCCTAATTATATACTAATTAACTTTGTAATATCATTGTTTGTTTGCACATTTTTTTTTCCTTTAGTGAAACATTCGAAACAATTTGATAAAGAAATGGTTCTTGTATATTTAACAGTGAAATAAACAATTTTAAAATAAAATTTTCGTGAAAACATTTCACATACAAACAAAACCCACAAACCGTGTCAGTTCTGATTGACAGAAAAAATCCTCGCAAAATAACGTCGAATTTTACCACGCGAGGCTAATGAATGAAACGGCCAAATTTCAACGGTGATGTTGGACACCACCAGGATACAAAGCCTAGATTAAAAAAGTTATAACAAAAAATAAACACACTGCAATATTCCGAGTGACAAGCAGATAGTGTTTGTAACTTCAGCTAGATCGTGAAATTAAAAAAAAGGCCCCTTTTTTATGTTCATTGGTATAGAATTGGGTGAATAGATGGAAATTCAATAATAAATTAAATGCCGTTGAATATTTCAGCATTTACAGTCTTATTTGATAAAAATAAAAAAACGCATTTGTAAGCCCTCGGGTGTTGCAGATGTCCATGGGCG